CCCCCCCCCCCCAAGCAACGGATCAACGCAGGGAATACAATGGATGGACCACCAAGTCCCCTTTAAATTCCTGGGAATCACAGTTACCCTGACAGGGACCAGCAACTCAATAGCAGCGAGCCTACTCGCAGCCGTCATGAATAAATATAAGGGATGGCAAAAGATATATGCATCACTGATGGGTAGGGCGATAGTCATCAATTCACCGATCTTCTCCATGGTCTGGTACACAGCGTCAATCTGGGACCCACCCACCAGCTTCACGAAGGACTTAAAGAGAAAGGCAGCAGCCTACTTATGGACAGGGGACGCATCCAAGAACCAATTCATATCCAAAGTAGCCTGGAAATATGTAACCAACCCACTAGAGGAAGGAGGGATCAGTCTCATAGATCCCGTAACGGAATATAAAGCTCTCCAGACAAAGTGGATCTTAAAACTGTTGTTGAAAACGGAACTACCATGGCAAGAAATGGCCCTATACCAAATAAGAAACCTGCTTCCCTTTAAAACACATGATAGCATAGAAGGCCATTCATGGATCATGAACAGATACTGGACACCCAGAAGAGAAGGAGGCAGACCTAGGCAAAGGAACCAGTTACCGAACTCTGATCCCCCAAGCGACCACTGGGCAAAACTGATAGCAGCATGGAGGGAGGCTTTCCCACAAAGACGGAAAAATCCAAGAACAAAAGAAGAAATTTTGAGACAACTTCTGTTTGGGAATGACTTCTTGAAAGATCAGAATGGGAAGACATGGTCTCTCAAGGCAAGGGGGAAGAGATGGAGGACATGGGTAGAGAGAGGCATATGGAAGATCGAACACATATGGGATGAAGGAAACAGCAAGTGGAAATCAGAAGGAGACCTTAGAACTAAGCTGAGAGGCCATCACAATTTACAGCAAAACCTAGAGGAATTGATAGACAGTATCCCAATAGCTTGGAGGTCAACGCTAAAAAGAAGTATAGTTTGGAAGAAAGGTGACCGGGCAACATTGAAGACACAAGAAACACCCTCAGTAGCCCTTCGTTTCATAAGATACGAGGGAACTGATAGACGCATAGCCAAATTTGAAGTTCATGAGTTGGAGAACACAGATAAAGCAATAGTGGAGGTCAGAAAAGACGCCCTAATCAACCTAGACTTTGCCCTACAAGACTTGAGGAAGGTCAGAGAACTTAAAAACGAGCAAAAAGGACTTAAGGAAAGGAAGAAAGAAGGCAGAACTCCCCACCTGTTTGTTTAGACCAAATAAAGACATATCGGAATCAGAAGTCGACCCCAATGAGTGGGGCTGGTATCAGAACAGGGGGAGAGGAAGGGCCAAAAAGTGGATCCGGCTGCACGAATACACAGTAAAAAGGGGGTATAAGATAAGACGCAAGCTAGAAAATCCACAACCGATCATAGTGGCAAGGTGGGAAAAAAACCTCCAAATAGACCCCGCTTTCTGGCAAACAATCCCATGGTCCTACTATGCAACGAAAGTGAGAAGCTTACAATGGTTGATAATTTACATGGCAGTCCCCACCAATGAATGGTTAGAAACAAAGAGGAGAAAGGAGGATAGAACAGAATACTCAGCACACTGCCAAATGTGCCAAGAACAGGTAGCGGAAACGCTAACTCACTGCCTCTCTGGCTCAAGTGCAAAAAAGCTTGGTCCAATCTAATAATGAATTCTCGACAGACCAATTCCTCCTACTAACAGCAATAGACAGAGAAGGCTTAATCCCTGAGGAGGATAAGGAGATCACAGAGTTACTGCGAAGAACAACCCTGTGGGTAATATGGAGAGCCAGATGTTGAAACACAATAGGAAAAAAAAAGATAACGGCAAATGAATCATGGGAAGAGGCAAGGGAAATGGTAGAAACAGGGGTTAGAGTGGAATGGAAGCGAACCCTTGGGAGAATGGACAAAGAAATAGAGGACCAGAAGAGGACTAAAATACAGAAAGAATTTGAACAGCAGTGGCTGAAGGAGGGGCTATTGGCAAGGATAAACGGAAAAACCCTTCAATTCACGAGCTGGTGGGATCCGGGCAGTCCAAGAACAAGTCAGAATAGCACAAGCGCAATGGACTTAGACTGATAAGAAAGGAAAACTCAGAGGAGGAACAAGCGCAACCATAGAATAGGGGAGGGTAAGAGGAAGTAAGAATTAGTGACATGAAGAAGCAAAAGACCCAGGACAGCACTTCCAAACGGAGGATCGGGAGAGATGGAAAACCAAGACAAAATAGAAGAGGATAGTCCAAAAGGAAACAGCAGCAACACCAACCCGCCATTAAAGAAAGAGGACACACAATATAAAGGAAGAGAAGGGGAGGCAATGGGACTCAAGGCTCAAGCATATCAACAACGCCCAGCAGACACCTCACTACACCCCCCAAGCCAACCCACCCACACGCATACTAACCACAACAAGTCAAGACGCCACCGGACAACCCACACATTGTGCCCCTACAAGCCTCAGAAATTCCCAACTCCAACAAAACCCGTTTCACCCAATAGTGACACAGCCCCTCCCTTACCACTTTTATCCTCCCTCTCCCGCCCCAAGCCCACAACCCCAAGCACATCGACCCATAACCCAAAACCTTCACCACTGCACAAACTCCCTCAGTCACTGCCCCCCCCACCCAAACTACCCCGCCAAGAAACCATAGGCATATTCAACAGAGTCAACACAAAACGCCGGACAGGGACAGACCATAAAAACACACTACAGCCAGCAAGGGTTCAGGGTTTTAGATCGAGGGTTTAGGTTTCAGGCTAGACAAGAACAAAGCACATAGGGCCTAGGATGTTAGAGAATTGAAGAGGTTCATAGACTCTCCAGACCGCTCTAGCATGACACAACAATCCGACAGCACCACAGCTGAGAGGAGCGGGACTGGGTTCAGGCAGGTTGGCAACAGCCAGACAGAGCAAATAGCATAGGCTAAACTAGGCAGGGGTGAGGGGTGGTACATCCTTCCTCAGAGAAGTAATCAATGCCATCCACTCGGACCTCCCAGCCATAATGGGGAGGAGCGTGCGTGAGTCACCCATGTTTTCCCATATTGACTTGCCGGGGGAATAGGAACCGGACTGTCGCTCCCCAGAATGGTAGGAGCCAGAACCAAAAGGTTCTGTTTTCTCCAAAATAAAATAAAATAAAAAATAAAATAAAATAATAATAATAATAATAATAATTTATTTAGCAGATGGTCGTTCACATACTCCCAATTTCCAAAGGCTCGAATCCTGACAGATATCTCCCTCCGCACGGTGCACAGTTTGCAAGCCATAGGGCCTCGCTCCAGTACACCACACTCTATTTGCATCTGGAGCTCATAACCGTCCCGATGCATTCCAAATGTTGGACCCCTCCAAATGCACCTGGTACAGAAAGGCGTCCACATGCATATAGAGTCTTGAGAAGTGGAGCCAGGCCCATAGTTGCCTGGCAAAGCGCAAATCCCGTTAGATGTCGATGACTTGAAGTACCCCCCCATTTTGTTATAATACTATCAACAAGGTGCCTGTCAGGTGGAAGGTAAGAGATGCCATAAGTCAGACAGGTCTTTAGACTCTTTACACATATCTAACAACAGTGCCAGTCTGGCACAATTTTCCTCCCTGGATTGCTTCTGGGCGGTCATAGTTCATCGTCACTCAGCATTGCACATTCATCAATCTACTGACCAATTGATCAATCAATCAGTCAATCAAGGTAAGGTAATCAATCCACTCAATCGATTGATCAGCTTGATCAGCTTGACAGCTTGATTGATTGATCGCCTTGATCCACTCGATCAATACATCAGTCAATCAAGCTGATCAATCAATCGATCAGTCAATCAACCTGACGAATCCACGCAATCTATCCATTGATCCACTGATCGCTATAATAAGAGGTCCATAAAGCCGGTGCAACAGACGGTTGTTAAAGTCGTCCGCTTGGGCAAGGGCTACCATTCATGGCCATCGTTGTCCACTTGTTGAGAACTTGGGTGCAGGCGGGCGGGCATGCTAGCGTGTGTGTGTGTGTGTGTGTGGGTGGGCTGGTCGTCACACTGCGTTACATTTACTACTAGGACAAGGTCGCGGCCTTCTGGAGAAATAGGGAATGCCACTTGTCGAGAACTCAACGGTTGTTCAACTAGTTGTCACTGTTTGTGAATGGGGGCAGTAGTTTTAACGGAAGCATAGTACATCTCAAGCCTCGCCGAAATCAAATAGGCAAGTGTAACTCATGCCTCATTCTACTTATTCGCAGTTCTTCCTGCCTTCTTCTCTCCTGTTGTTTTTCCTTTTCCTCTCCTGCTTGTTGATAATTGGGAATGCCAGCAAATTCCTGCTCGAGCGTTTCCATCCTTCCCTGTACTGTTACAACCAACCGGTATAACTGCCCTGTCGTTATTTTTTGCTTGCTGCTGTCGCCGCGTTCACTCTCCTCCTTTGAGATAAGCACCATAGGTCCATCTCCTCCACCACCCTGATCCTCTTCTTTCCTTCTTTTGCTCTCCAGCATGAGCTGTTTGATTGTTTCTTCCAATCCTTCAACCTTGGCATGGAGCTTGCTCAATTCCGCCGTGGTGTCAGAATCCTCACACGCATTCCCTTGCGCATTTGAGCTTGATCGTGAGAAAGCCCGTCTATCGCCACACCCATATCCATATTCACACACATGCTCTCTAGGACTAGCACCAGCGCACATCGATACAACTTCCCTTGGCACTGGAGTCATCGCCTTGGCGGTGCGAATTTTGGGCGGTGATGAATCATTGTGTACCGCGCCGCAATTGTACCCATCGTACGTGGTGTAAACACAGAAATCCTCGCTTGCTCGACCTTCTTGGCCCTTGGGCCGCGGGGAATCCTGAGCTCGTTGTGGTGACACTGATCGTGAGCTGAGAACAGAGACTCCCCCATAGCACGCCGCTGAGTGCGGGGATGGCAGTGTCGAGCCCGCAACATCATGCTCATTGTTGGCACTGTAATTGTCCATGCTCTTGTCGTAAGCACCAACCGAGTTGGCCGCACTGTCGCTGGTACTCGAAGGACTTGGCGATAGTGACAGAGAGACACTGCCACTCTCTGCACTGTTGAAGATATCGATATTGTTGACATCACCACCTTGTAGTGGTCCAGCTTGGTTCGGAACTGCCTGCGCCTGACAATTTTTTACCCCTGCACACCCCGGTGATGTTGGTCCGAAATCCTTCTCTGGAAACCGAAGCTTTGGTGTACCAGATTTGACTGCATCCGTCGTCTTGTCCCGAGGGACCTGTACAGTCAGATCTATATCTTCCTTGAGGGCAATTGCCACCATCTTGCAGATTAGCTTTTTCTTATTTGGATCGTTCAGTTCACGGGTAAGCCGCCCCGCCTCCATGGCTTCCAAAATCCTCTTAACATCTGCTGTGACCTGCAGGCTGACCTTCGCATCGATGTCCTTTGGAGCAAATACCTGTTTCCTAACCATCTGGGACCGTTCATGGATCTTGGGACTGGGTGCGGCATCTGTGCTCCTGCGAAACGCTAGGATAAGGGCAGCGTTTTCACATATGTGTTCGTACTCTGTCAGAGTCAGGGCCATTGCCGAAACCCTGGAAGCCATTTGGAGCGTTCGGATCTTAGATATTTCAGTAATTGTAGAGCCCAATAGAGAGGTCAAGATGCAAGCAAAGGGCACTGCTGTTTTAATTGCTCCCTCTACCACTTTGACGATGCAATTCAGCGCAAACTCGTACCGGGGCTTAAGCTTGACGTACTCACCCTGGCTTGCCCTGGCACTCACAAACATCTCACACATCACCTGCAGAAAGAAGGAGAAGTATTGGCACGAGAAGTCGCTGCAAAGCAGACGCTGTTTGGCCATTTCGAAACTGTCCTTCTGGAAGTACTCCTGCCGGAGTCGGCAAAGCACTTGCCGCTCTTCAGGAGCCAAGAATGAACCCCGATCGATCTCGAGCACTGCTGCAAAGTCGACTGCAGACGCCTGCCGCACGCGGTCCATTACTGACTGGAAGTCTCTCAGCTGTTCAAGGATGTTCCCAGTTTCGTTCCCTGACTCCTCGATGTCAGGGGGTATGTAAACAATAGGCTCTTCTCGCGATCGGAATTGGAAAGGTGATCGGTTACTCGAGGACGACGGGGGGATGCAATGCACGACACCCTCATGACGGTCACTCCCATCCTGATTGGTCCCTCTTACCAAATCTTTGTTGCGCAAAGCGAAGGGATCACTCAGAAAGCTCCTATCATTCACATCAAGAACCGGTTCTACGACAATTGCAGCATGTAGTGTTTTGTCCGTTACGGCGTGATCCACAGAAGTTGTAAGCTGTTTCGCACCTTCTCTTGTGCCTGAAAAAGGCGATGAAGAAGATCCATCGCCCTCCACACCAGCCTGATTGCTCGCGTCATTCAAAAAGCTTCTATCACTCAGATCGAGGACTGGTTCGACAACCATTTCGGCATATAAAGTCTCATCTGGTTCCGTGGGTTCCATAAAAGAGGAGATGTGTTTCACGCCACCTCTTGCTGGCGAAGGCATTAACGACGATCTGTCACCCTTTATCCTTTGTGCAAGCTCGAGCGTTTGGTGATCTTGCTCATCCCGGCAATCCTCACCTCCGTCACTATCTCGCATACTGCTTCCTCGCGACAAACTGGTCCTGAAGGGACCACCGGTACTGGTACCGGTACTCAAGAATGTCCTGTCACTTATGTTAAGGACTGGGTCAACAACCATATCACTGCACAATCTCTCACCTACGCCTCGATTGCGCAAAGCAGAGGTCACCGCTACAGCGGCCTGCTCGTGCCTGCTTCTTGTCGGATCTGCAAAAACTGCTGTCGTTGCTGTGTCCGCAGCATCGGTTTCTTTGTCGTTGGTAAGGGACTCCAACTCCTGGCGAGCGTCCCTGTCGCCTGCGTTGGCTGCATGCTGAAACCAAATCTTGGCCTCCTCTACGCTTCTCCTAATCCCCTGACCTTCCAGCAGGCAGACACCGAATCGGTACTGGCCATCCACCCCACCTTTCTCTGCTGCCTTTCGAAACCATTTCACAGCCTCGCGGTTGTTTCTTGGCAGAACATCCCCAAGAACCCCTGTGGTGTAACAGAACCCCAACCACTCCTGCATCAACACATCTCCACTATCCGCATGAACTGCACATGATTTCAGTATGTCCCGCCAGTTTCGCAACATCTTTTGTTGTTTCCAGTCCACATGGACAAGCTTGCATGCTGCTTCCAAGGACTCCATCTTCTGTGTAGCCTTCCTGAGCCATTGCTGCGCCGCCTTATCGTCCCGCATCACCATTCTTCCCTGCTGATTGCAAAGCCCCTGTAATCCACACACATGAAAGCCTCAGCGCAGAAAACTGTGACTTTTCAGGTCTCCTTCTAGTCCAGATGTATGTCCACATGAGCAACTGCAGCAAGTTAGTGGCAAATTCCAAAAGCCGTTCAGCTTATCACTCACCGATTCTTTTTTTTCTCTTTCCTCTTCCCCTCTCCCTGGCCCCCCCCCTCCCTTCCCCATAAAACCAATAACAATCTCCTTATAACTCATGAGAGTCATAACTCATAATGCACAACCCATATGGTTAAATGGTGGTACACTCCTGACACTGTTTATGCACAGATCAAGAGTCAGCAAGGCACGGTAACAAAAACGATAAATATTAAAACCCTTTTTGGCGGGCCAGTTCTATTTCTGAGGGGATGACCTACCATCTTCACCCGAATAGAACACCCGGTCATTATAGCTGTATCTAGACTGAAAGTTGGACAAAATACAGCTCCAATGATGGGGCATTCCGTTCAGGTGGGTGAAGACGATCGTCCCTTTCTCATGGGCAACTAAACTGATAGCATACTCTTCAACGGACGAATCTAACAAACAGATCCCAAAGGACCCAAACTCCTTTTGAGAATATGAAGGAATTTTGTATATCGCTCCATTGGAGTTCGTTTTTTCCCCCCCTCCCCTCCCCCCCTAGAAAACCAAACATTTGGACCATTCCTGATTTATGCGTGTCATCCTTGGGCATGGGCCGTGCTAATCTTCTCTGTATCGTCCCAATTTTAACGGATGTCACGAAGGACAGTCCATTGCGGCTCTTCAACTCCTTTTAGCTGAAAAAAATCCTACGATCTCGCTGGCTGGGATCGACTCATGCAATGGGTAGAGAACACCGTTGCATGAGTCGATCCCAGCCAGCGAGATCGAGAGATGGTTAACCGGGGGTCGAATATTCGCCGTTTTCGCCGGCAATTTCAGATATGTGGAAATGTGGTGAGACTCTGTAAGAGTACATTGGCGCTTGCTGTTGCTTAAGATGGTACTGGCATTGTATTGTCCGTGGTTGCTGGGGATTTTGACCGGTCCTCAGGCGGTGCATCACAACAGTTCGGTGAGATAATATGTGGTTGGTGCGAGGATTCAGGCCCTCGGCCGTGCTGCAGACAGGCCTGACCACCCTAAGTGAAGGTGGGCCTGGCAAAATGAGGCCAGCCCGAAGAGAAGGCCCGCATGAGAGGAAAAGGGCCTTGAAGTTGGTTGGCAGTGTGCAGCCTCTCTAACCAACCAGTAGGCCCAGGCCACAAGTTGGTTGGCGAGGCCAGACCTGCCTGAAAAATGCCATCCGGACCTTTCATAGATGTCCAATCAGCTAGCTGCTTCTGGGCCTTATTGACCTCAGAAGTGGCCACTTCAAAGCAGCACCTCCAAGGAGGGCCACTGCGGCACGCACCTTGTCCACTTCTGGACAGGTGTAGCTCTTCAGGTAAGAGCTCATCTGAGCTATCCAGTCTGATACGTCAACTTTGGAATCTTTCCCAGTGAACTTCTCAGGCTGGGCCATCTTGGGGAAACGCTGTTCCTGCTGTGCTGAGCTGGGAGCGGGCCCCTCTGCGGGCGCAGCCCCAACAAACCACCGCCAGTTTCCCTCCTGGGAGAAGGGGGTTGCTACCTGTAGCTCTTTAGGTAAGACCTCATCTGAGCTATCCAATCTGATACGTCAACTTTGGAATCTTCCCCAGTGAACTTCTCATGATGGGCCATCTTGGGGAACCGCTGTTCCTGCCGTGCTGAGATGGGAGCGGGTCCCCCTGTGGGCGCAGCCCCAACAAACCACCGCTGGTTTCCTTTTGGGAGAAGGGGGTCGCTGGCTCTTGGGGGATCCTGACCAAGAGTTGTGTGTAGGACTGGGTAGTGTAGTATGGCTGGGAGATGGATGGGCAGAAGAACAGGGGTAGGAGAGGGTGCAGGAGAAGGGGGGAAATGTTGAAAGCATGCTGCAGACGCAGGGTATTGTTGATTGATTACAGTTTGGATTCCACTGTTGAAATCCGCTCATCCCAGGCCGTGAAGATGTCCCGCGCGTGAGTGGATTCCAGCAGAATCCACTCTGCCATTTTCTGATTAATCTCAAGGACTCGGCTATCTATAATAGCCTTGGCAATACTCGCTAGAAGTTCTAGGATACCCCGAAACAAATGGGCCTGTGTCCTTTCCCGGCCTCAAGGTTTATGTTAAAAAAAACTAGTCAGTTGCATGCCGCGGCGACGCAGTGCAGATCAAGTGGCCAGAGAGAGCGACGCGTTGTGCCCTTTCTCTCTCTCTCTCTCTCTCTCTCTCTCTCTCTCTCTCTCTCTCTCTCTCTCTCTCTCTCTCTCTCTCTC